GGCATTACAGCTTCGTGCAGATTGTTGGCTGCAGTTGGATGGAGCACCCGCCCACTCAGGAAGGGCAGTAGTATGTTGGCTTAATGAGCAATATCCTAACAAATGGATTGGTCGCGGAGGCCCTATTCCTTGGCCAGCTCGTTCGCCTGATATTACTCCTTTGGACTTTTCCATTTGGGGCATAATAAAAGACAAGGTATATGAAAGTGTGATCAACTTACGTGAACAGCTGCAACAACGAATTAGAGCTGCCTGTCATGATTTAAATCAAAATAGGTTCGTCATGCAAAAAATTAAACGAGCAATTAGAAAAAAATGTGAGGCCTGTACTGCGGCCAATGGCCTGCAATTTGAACAATATTTAAATATTCGTTGATACATTAATGATACAGTTTCTGTTTAAAATCAAAAAGTATCATTGTCAGTAATCACAGATAGTATTCAATTAGCCAGGAGCACGCTTCAGCATTTTTTAGATAACGAATAGTGATTGAGTTGAGCGTTTGAGTTGTTGATTACGACAGTTCTGCTAAAATTAAGATCAGGAATGATTTTATAAAATGTCGGTTTACTCCGTAACGGTGCCTATTATGGAGAAAACGTAAGAATGCTTTTTGGTAGAACAATATAAGGACTATTGAAATTACTTATTATTTTGAAGATCAGTCAGTGGCGTAACATATAAAACCATAAAAGGTATCGGCAAGTGCGGAATGCACGCCACTGGCTCTTTCTATCGAGCTGAGATTTTGTGAATTAGTACTAGTGCACTGTGGCATTCACTACACAAAATTTTAGAACAATTGATTTATAACTCTTAGATATATTAACAAAAAATTTAAAAAAAAATCAACTTCAACACCCTGTATTTCGGAAAGGGTTTACATTTCGAAATACACTGAAAGAAATGCGTTTTATTCTTTATTAGAATTCTATATACCATTATAAGACCATTGTATACTATATGTGACAGTTAAACAGGTGAATATTGGATATAAAACGCGTATTGCTAGCACAGTTGTATAGTGACTATAAACCTTATTCTTTATTAAATTATTGTATAACTAGTATACAACGTTTTTTATACCCTTTACGAAATAATAGCAATAACTGTTATTAAAGTGTTCCATATCGTTATTAGAACATCTAGTACTGGTAATATGTTTTATAATAATAAATGTGTTAAACTGTTGTATAATCTGTATAAGTTAAAAACATATGTCATTAAGTTTTCAGAAATTTTATTGGATAACTGTAATTACAAGCTAAGGTTCTAATGTAAACATACATAAAACATACTTTTAAGCACTAAAAATGATGACAAATCGCTCCCAAAACTGTCCAGTTTATTTTCTTAGCAACGATGCACCCGTATTTTCTTGTATTACATGAGAATTTGCACTATAACTCTTCCACCTTAAGAATGAAGCATCCCCAGAAAGGTTGAGCTTCTTTCCATATAATTTTATTTCCTCTGGTTGATTGACTTTATACCCATGCTTTTCTTTGTCACCGTTAACCTTCTGTTCCTCCATCTTATGTAAAACTTAACATCAGCGATTTCTAATAGGACCTACAAAATAATAATTTTTAAGATTTAGACAAGATTTACATTTGAAAAAACAAAACAATTACAAGCCATAAAACAGTTAGATAATTACATAATAATTTTCCATTTCACACAACGCGATATGATCAAGTATCCCACAAAACATGTGCATATACTGTCCATTTTCATCAAACTAGACGTGTGTAAGTCGATGCACAGCGGACTGTCGGAAATTTTACGATTGTTGTATTTTCTCTTCTTGAGTAAAGATAATAAAGACGTTGTGGTTTTGTGTGTTTATTTTGACAATGATTGAACATCTATGGACAATAAAAGTGGACTGTATAAGATAGTTGAGTACCGTTCTGCTTCATACATAGCATGCTACTGAAATCATAGAAGGGATGAGCTCGTACGGCGAACCCTAAATCAGCGGCTGGAATAGCCAAGTTTCTTATTGAGTCGGCGCACTTCGCTCTCGGGTCTGACATGATTATTATTACAAGACTATGAATATAACTTAACAACGACCATAACCGATTATGCACCGAGAGGTGACGATCACTTAACCATTATAAGATGCGTTTTACACGTTAAAAACGGAAACATATTCAGTATAAGAACGAATAATTCTGTTAATACAATTGTTATATACAAATTCGGATACAACAAATCTTCCCTACTATACAATTGGAATATAAAGTCAATAACATCTAATAATGTATAAGTAATTCATTATAACCTTTATTTCATAGATGCATAAGGAGTATTAAGCACCTTCCAGTTAAACTGATTGAATAATGAGTATGGAGATGATTGCTTTTTTTAATAAAAGTTGTATATTAGTTATAAAAGTTTTAATGTGCGCTATACACATTATTCTAGATAAACAGTTTAATAAGCCCATTTCTTTCAGTGTAGGTTTATATAGCAAGGTCCCTTTAATTTTATCGGATCTACCTTTTCCTGAATTTTTTCAGAATAAAAATGGGACACCCTGTATACAGGGTGTCCCGTTCATGTTTTAAAAAAACATGTGTGCAAGTTCCCCATTGGAAAATAATAGAGGTAGTTCATGTAATTTTTTTTAGACGCCCTGTTTTCGAGATACAGTGTGTTGAAGTTGTTACTTGCCATATGGTTTTCCTTAATTATCTTTAATCGGCTAAAGATAAAAATGTCAAAATTTGTACACGAGTAAACATCAACTGTGCGTTAAGAGTAATGTGCGAACCGTTTCTTTCTGAAAATCAGTGACGCCGATACAGGTAATTGAAGTGGTACAGTCGAAGAAAAAATATGTTAAAAATCAAAATTTATTAGATTTCTAAACGGTTCTGTAAACTCTAAAGGATACTACAAAAAAAAGGACTTGTTGTAACTCGGTAGCATTTACCATTTTCGAGAAAAATGAAGTTGCATAGAAGGAAATGGGGGACAATTTCAGTATCTACTGTAGTATTTCGAGTTTGTACATTTATTTAATTGTGGAGCTGTTTTGTTATGTATGTCTCCGCGTTTGTTTCCTAATATTTTTCTGTTCTTATCACTTTTTTTAAGCATTCATGTCCATCAACAATTCACTACATTCAACAATTGTTTATTTTAGTAATGGTAGTGTAGTCGTTTACAAAATCTAAAATTAGTTAATAATAGATAAATAATGACCATAATCTGTTTATTTTGATTTACGTTTTTAAATAGTAGTTTACAACAAACTGAAACTTAAAATAAATTTTAATTTTTTTTTAGTTAATAAAATGTTTTACAATTTAACTATTTCATGTGATATATAAGAAATTAAAATTATAGTCTTACATGCAAATACTGTTGGCAGCTAAATGTCTTCTTCTCTTCAGATCATTCAATGGTAAGGTCCTCTTTCAATTTAATATTTTGTTATGCCGCTTTATGTGAGCAAAAAAAATGCAACTTCATTTTTCTCGAAAATGGTACATGCTACCGAATTTCGACACGTATATCTTTTTTTTGTAGTATTCTTTACAGTTTACAGAACTGCTTAGAAATGTAATCAATTTTGACTTTTAACATATTTTTTCTTCGATTGTACCCCTTCAATTACCTGTATCGGCGACACTGCTTTTCAGAAAGAAACGGTTTGCACATTATTCTTAACGTACAGTTGATGTTTAGTCGTGTACAAATTTTGACATTTTTATCTTTAGCCGACATAAAGGTAATTAAGGAAAACCATATAGCAAGTAACGACTTCAACACACTGTATCTCGAAAACAGGGCGTCTAAGAAAAAAAATTTACATGAACTACTCCTATTATTTTCCAATGGGGAACTTGCACACAAGTTTTTTTGAAATATGAACCGGACACCCTGTAAATAAGACTACTTTTTCTTTGATTAAAAAAAATAAGCCCTAATTTGTTTTTTTTTACAAAAACAATAACTGAGAGTTGTATGTCTCCGACAAAAACTAAATTAAACTTCTCTTAACTAAATTAGTCGTATGTGTGTGTGAAGAGTGACGTATCATCAAATTATTTTAGCGCGAATTTTTAAATGTGGGCCTTATTACTTCCTGGGTCTTATTTGCCTCGGGTACCATACATATATCTTTTTTTTTATCCAAATATCGTGTGTCATTTAAAAGACAATTTTAAATAGCTAATAGGTAAATATAATCTTAGAAGTTGTTACTTTTTTATGTAAGCAAATATAGACACTAGATACGTTTTAGTAATATCTCGTGTTAAAATTTTAAGAATTTCCTATCAATACTGAAAATAGAATAATAGTTCATTTGGAAACAAAAGATGTGGGATCTTTGTATAAATTTTATTTTATTTAATTTTACCTAAATTCCATATACCTATCCTTAATAAATATACCTACCTATAGATAATTTTGTGAGAAAATAAACAATTAAAAATAATGGTATCATATATTTTATTCTTTGATTAATCTTAATCTTGATATTAATTAATTGATTTGTAATGAAATTATAAACACCTATACCTACTTAATGTATCAAAGATCGCATAGACAAAAATCAAATCATTTCTACCAATTTACATTTATATTAATGGGTGTATAACTGATTACAAACCATAAAATGTATTCAATAAAATATAATGACTGAGTGTGTTTGCAAGTGAACTAATTCCAAACAATAAATTTCGTTTAACTACATCAGCCATATTAAATGAATCTTACTCAAATAAAGTAATTTATTATAAAATGCAAAGCATTATTTTATTGGTTGCTCCCTTGTGTTAATATATGACTTCTTATTAAGCCAATTGGCGCGATGTTAACGTTGAGAAAAGGACGAACTGCTATTGAGAGGTGGAGCAAGGGCGTTCTTAAAATGCCATTGTTCTGAAACTACCAATAGAAATCTACAGGGGCGTTGAATGTCCTTTTAAAGTTACTAAATGTTTTGAAGGATCAGTTCAAATAGTGGTTTAGCGGAGTTTGCTTAAGATCTTGTGTTTGTTCAGTGCATCTATGTAAGTGATTTCAACATGCCGCGACCGTCTAGGGATTCGTATGGTGACCAGAAACCTCCTTACTCGTATATATCATTAACTGCGATGGCCATTTGGAACTCTCCAGAGAAAATGTTACCTTTGTCAGAAATATATAAATTTATAACAGACAGATTTCCCTATTACAGAAAAAATACACAAAGATGGCAAAATTCACTTAGACATAATCTGTCATTCAATGATTGCTTTATAAAGATACCCAGACAGCCAGACAGACCAGGAAAAGGAGCTTATTGGGCCTTACATCCAGCAGCATTTGATATGTTCGTTAATGGCAGTCTATTACGGCGAAGGAAACGATTCAAATTGCTCAAAAGTGACAAAGAAATATTAGAAAATGAATTAGCAGCTTTAACAAACATAAATAGAATATTTTTCTCACCGCCAAATTCTCTAATGGATATGAATCCATCAGTAGTAAATACGCCTGTCCTATCAACGCATGGAGAACCTTCCTCCCCAATACTAACTAAGCCTCCTGAATCATCAGTCACTTGTATAAGACCCAAAAGGTCCTTCACCATAGAGAGTCTTATTTCCCCAGACAAGCCGCCGCCTATAGTACCAAGTGCGACACACATTCTTCCTCATGTTCATCCGTGGGTATTAACTTCGTCCTGCTACGATCTCACTTTCACGAATCCCATGGCTTTAATGCAATCTTCTTCAGTTCCCTATGAAAACTATGGAATATCAGCAACAGACGATTTATTCCGGGCGTCCCAATTATAGCTTAGCAAAGAAAGTGATTAACTCGAAAAGATATTATGCAAATGGTGTTTTCAAGAAATGAACCCAATTCAATTGGAAAATTGACTGAGTTTTATTCAAAGATATTCTATTATAAGTTATCACGTACGTACTCTATTAGCTACATAATATTCCAAAAAAATTTTGAACTAACGTCTTAGTTTATACCTTTTTTTTTATTTAATATTTAAAAATATGGCCTAAAATACATTATTTCATATTTATAAATAAAATGTTATATTACATTTATTCAGCGTAAAATATTGTATTTAATGGACAATTTCATGCAGACCGTAAACTAAAAAGAAACTATAGGACATTTAAATAAATGAGCTCATATTTATTAACGAATATTTATTTTTCTACTTATATCTTATTTATTGAATCCTTGTTATAGTTTTCGAAAAAACAAACGTGTTATACTTAGTAGATAGCAATCGCATTTGATTTTATTGCCTTATTTCGAAATATGATAAACCACTAGTGAAACAAACTCATATTTTTATCTTACATAAAAATGTCTACTTTTCGGTACCGAAAAATTGTTAAAACATTTTGAAACTAGACTGTAAAATAAGTATATCTAACAAGTGTTAGATGAAAATAGAAGTTTATAAATGATGTATATTTAATTAGTATTCCCATCTCAAAAATGTCTGTTCTGTTTTACCTTGATTTTTAACAAAAAAACAGTAAATTAAAATGTACATAAAACGAAGGTGTAGTTCCTGAATATTTCGTTTAATTGTATATATAAATAGGTACATATTATTTTAGACTTATAAATAAATGTGATAATACTTGTTAAGTTAACGCACTTTTATTGCATTATTTTATTAGGAAACTGCTCCAAATATTTAATATTTATGATACTTAATTGTCAAACAATACCTATACCTACTTAGTAATTATTATAAATGTAAATAAAATTATTATTGTTGTAGTCATAAATTGTTTATATGTGCATGTATAAACGATTTACTGAATGTATTGTAAGCATTAACGCGTACCAAATAAAATTATTAATTTCAACTATGACTTTAATTATTCAATAATGACATAAAACCGCTTATTCAATGAAATTATAACATATCTATACACATTTTTGGCATACCTGATAATTGAAAATAAGATTACCTATTAACTAAAGTAAACATTGAATAATGTATCTATTTATATGACATAAATGCAACGTATAATTTGAATTATTTTTTCTGGATTATTTAAATTAAAATTTTTTTTATGGGTAACGTAAAAAAATGCCGTTATAATTTTTTATTAAAAATTTTGTTTACTTTATATCAATTTATAGATATTTTTCCTTTATCTTACAAAAAAAATATTGTATTACGTTTATGTTAATAATACTTAATAAATATTATATTCTCCTCTTTCATTCATATTTTATTTAGTATTTTTTTTCTGTTGCCGAAAATGTATTTCGTATATTTTTATTCTATATTACGATCAATTTGAAATTATCAATTCTGTACGTTGATGTAATGCGTAGTTATAGTGGAAAGTGACATAAATCGCATCACTCTTCAGGTTTTTTGACAATAAATACATATAGATAAGTAATTCAGTAAACATTAATTGTACAATTTTAACGTTTTTGGGATATTAATAAGAAATTAATATTTTTTACTCCTGCACCTGGTAGGTACATTTTTGGAAACTAGTCGCCTAAATTGCATCAGTGAATATCCTATTTAGTTATCGTACCGGCATTAATTGAAACAGAATTTATGTGTGTGATTGATTAAAGTAACTATTTTACATGCTTGACACTTTTCCCCTATTCGCTGCAGAAACAGATAAAAAGTATACATAAGTCGTCGTTAATGTGTTCAGAACTGGACTAAAGAATGAAACAATTCATGTTGCATCTCTGTTCATTTGACATTTTTTTTTGTTCTTCTAACAGATCCATAAAATATTCAAATTTTATTTATGTACAAAAATAATAAAATATAAAATATATTATCTTGGTTTAAAGATTGTATTTAAGTTATAGTTTAATATTCTTTTATGCAGAAAATATCGAGTAAAAGACGTACAAATTAGGCAATCCCATTGTGGTATGATACACTTTGGATATATTTTCAGTAGTAAAGTATTTGTAATTAAACACGTACGTGGAACTAAGATTAAAACAATGTACCTAATAGAATCACAATAACACACATTAGCATGTAATAAAAATATTACGGTACCTATAACTCATGTGGGTAGGTACCCATTTGCAAAACGTGTGTTTCTTTATCCATCTGCTTGAAAATAAAGACGTTTTTAATCGATAAAAATTTGGTGTTTTTGTGTTATTTTTTATTACATTTGTACTATTTAACTGAGAATATCTAGAATAGTTACAGCAACTAAAACACATTTTCTTATTGTTAAAAATAAAATTATTTAACCCAAAAACCATATTTTACAAAGCGTTTACTCTATTACTCTTCACAGTTAAATGTCCTGTCTTACTGTTTGAGCAGGAGACATGCTATTACATTGAAAAAACAATTACTTTCTGTTAAAGTAATCGGCTGTTTTGAGTTTTGAGTGTATTATTTTGAGATAAGCCAGTTGCATTTAATACAAACCATTTGCTTTGCTCCAATTAAAAAAGAAACAGTTTTGTCTATATCTAATTAACTGCAATACTAATGACTATAACTACATATGATTTTAGAATATCTGTAAGGCGAATTATATTCTTTTATATTTAAAAAATGTTACTGTAAAATTATTCCAAATATATATTTCCACAAATGTGAACCAGTTGGTTATAAAAGTTCAATTTCTGTATAGTTTACTACTTTAATCGATTTAATATTAAAAAACATCAGATAGGTATATAAAGTTGTTCACAATTAGGTAACTAAATTTTTTACAAAATTGCTCCTATGAAAAATTTAAATTTTCCCAATAGATTTCCCGTATATTTTTTAAATGAAGTACAGATTTGTTAAAATTGGATCCAAAATAATGGTCAGTCCATTTTTAAATAATAAAAATTAATTATAGGAAATAAAATTGCAGAAAATTCTTGGAAAATCTTATATAGTTTTCCGAGGTTTGAATATTTATGAGCATCAAACGTATAATTTTATAGGCTTTCGAGGGTGTTCATTACGAATTAATTATGCACTTTTAAATATTTTCCAGAAAAATCTGTTTTTGATTTTTTTTACTTTCAATATTGAAAAATAACAATTTGTAATATAATGAAATTGAAAATTTAAATTGGATGACAATAGGAAAGAAATTTTCTGGAGATACAAAGGTATAATAAAAAAATATATACAGGGTGATCCATTAACGGTATCGAGCGGCTGTATATAGAAAACTAGATGTGCTACAATTATGGGGTAAAAAGTCTATTAATAAATACGAGCAAAAGAAATTGATTTAAATTATTTTCAAGTTTGCAACTTCACCGCTAGGGGGCGCAACTGCTATAGTGTTACAGAAAATTGTCGGTTTTTCGAAATTTCGCTTATATAACCTAAGTTGCAAATATAGTTTTTTGATACACTGTTAAACCCTCCACAAGTTTGTTTGAACTTTTTTTTTGTTATTACCATAGCAACGTCAGTATGAAGGACGATATCTTGAAATTTTTAAATTGTCATATAACTTCTAAATGCCTTAATCGATTTCAATAAACGATGGCTCATTTTAAAGAACTATTAATAAAATTTATTTTTATGATATAGGAATAAAAATATTATTTTGTAATTGTTTTGTTATCAAAAAAAAATTCAAAATAATGCAATAATTCTTTTTAAGGACAAGATTGATATAGTTTTACAATTTAATTTTGGCTTGGACTATGTCAATGTTATTTAGAGAACTAAATAAAGAAGGATGTTCTAGCACAACTTCACTAATTTAGCAACAACTTGAAAACGAAAAAAGATATCGACCTCCGGTTTGTGTTCCATAATGAATGGTCTGCCATCATGCCATAAAAAAAACTATATCGTTGCATTTAATTTTTTTAGTAAACGTAGACAATTACAAAACTTTTCTAATTAGCGTCGTCTACCATTGTGAAGGAAAATAATATTTATTTTTATTCCTATATTATAAATATAAATTTTATTAATAGTTCTTTAAAATGAGTCATCGTTAAAAATTTCAAGATCCGTCCTTCATACTGACGTTGCTATGGTAATAACAAAAAAAAAGTTCAAACAAAACTTGTAAAGGGTTTAACAGTGTATCTAAAAAATGTATTTGCAACTTACCCTATATAAAATATATACCTATAAAACTGCTAAAAAATTATATCAAAACGCTGTATGTTGCTGGTAGTTGAGTATGTGACATATGTTTTCTGACCTTAAAACTACACTTCTCTATAAAAAAATCTTAGAGTAAGCTTATTCCATCTTTTTATTACTAACTTTCCTGTAATATAACTTTAGATAAATACGACATTGTTGCTTTTGTAGTTTCATAAATTAATAATAAAACTCAATTAGCAATCCCTCATTTATTTTTAATAACTCACCAAACTAAACGAAAATTATCATAAATAATTTTAAACGACATACGAGTATTTATGTACACAATAAGTAAATAAGTTAATAATAAGTTTTAATACAATGTATCTACCTACTACAAGTAATTGTTAGCAAAAACGAAATATTAGAACCAAAGTATTGCACATGTTTTTCTATAGATCTCAACATTAGGTATGTAGGTAGCATCTCAAGTTGAATTATAAACGTATAGTTAAATAAGTTATTTAAATAATTTTGAGGAGGTACATAGTTTTGAGACTTATCGAGAAAGAAATACGTTCAATATTAGAGAAAAAAGCAATTCACTTTCTATAAACCATTGATTTATTAATAATAAAATAGCCTATTTTCATTGTAAAACTGTTAGTTCATTAAACTAAGACATATTTCTAATAATTTTATGTCATCTCCATTTTAAAATATGCAAATTAATAATAAAGAAGCATAACATAATATTAAAGTAAAATTCAGTTAATATTCAAATGAGATTTATGAGACTATGGACTAATTATTATAGTTACTTTTCACACCATATGTTCTAGGCAATATTCAAAATTAGGATTAGTTCTCGGTAAATGATATTTATTTAGTCCAAATAAA